TATTTAAAGTTATGTTGAGTTGAATTTAAAAAAAAACGTAAATCATAAAAGTTAATATTTCTAATTGTCTAAAAATTATCTTAAATTATACGGACGAGAGTCATTTTATATTATGGCCACCAAATTTGAATGTTTAAACAATCAAATATGTTTACTATTGAGAGTACAAAAAATGCAAATTTCTAATATTACTTCTTTTTTGTCTTTAATACAAGAAATTTGTTATCAGATGAGTTCATTATTATTAATTTATATACAACTATACTTTATTTTTTTTCCTTTTTCATTTTTCTTTTTTGCATTATACATAACTAAGCGCTCAGTCATATCAATGTAAAACAATTCGTTCGAATGCTTTATAACATATGGGCATACATTATACTTAACAAATATTTAATATAGTATATGTGTAGGAGAACATGGCATAATACAAATAAGTTTCAAATCTTTTTTCTCTTTATTTTATTTTTTTCTTCGATATATGATTTAGAGAAAATTTTTAAAGATACTTAACTTTATACTTAACTTTTGCCGACTCTATGTAGACAATATCGAATTTAATTACTGTCAGAGCTTAATCTTTTTTAAATGCACTATTAGATATGTCGATGAGAAAAAAAGAACACAAATTTGTATAGAAAATAACGCACACATTGCAAATATTGTTCTATGGTTGCCTTCAGGCCTTCATCCTATTTTAGGCATAGCATATTTTTCTAATGTATATTGCAATATCGGAATCATCTTGCCTAGCGAAAGCAACCAAGTTTAAAAAGAAAAAAGAAAAGATTAAAAAAAGAAGAAGAAAAAGGAATGGATCATAGTAGCATGTATATTAAACATGCTACATATAAATAAATAAATAAATAATTAAATGAATGAATGATTGATTGATCATTGGATAAATGGATGAGTAAAAACAAAGTATATCTACCCGGTGACGATGATCGTACTCGACTGGTTGCATTAAATCATAATGATGCTTGTAATTATTACGATTGATATTAGTATATTTAAGTAATTAAACTTCACATTAACTTAAATATATTATATGATTAAATTACCACCCTTTGGTATATATATATTTTAGATTTTAGGTTCACGTGATTTAAATATATATATATTTTTTAAATATAGATATATATATATATATATATATATATTTGCATATAGCCACACCAGATACCACAGTCTAAAAGAACTTGAACTGTGATTTATAAAGTCTAGCTCCTCTCCTATTCTCACCTTATTCTTCCCCAGAAACAAAATTTCTTACAATTTCTTAGATATTTATATAACTATAGTGGACTATATATATTTATGTATATTTAAATACAGAAATATATCTATATATAAATCTATCGGCCCCACGACCCCCTCTCCAGCCTTCTTACATTTATCAGGAGTGATTTTATTTTCTAATGACAATTGTAAATTTGTAGGTGTAAAATGTTTAAACATATGCAATTTGAAAGATTTTTTAAAAAGAAAAGAAACAAAATTATTACTTTATAGATTATAGAGTAAAAAGGTATGTTATGCTAAAAAAGCACAATTTTCGCTTTTATTACCATTTCGTTCTTATTAATATTTATCCCATCGCGCATAATTAATGAGTAATAAGTCGTTTATCTGAACGATTATTGTAATTTTGATAATATAGGGAATTTCGTTAAATATCTTCTAATAATTTTCTTAAAGTAACTAATGTAAGACATTAAATAACATTTTTTGTCCTTATACATATTTGGTCACGCTAATATTGCTCATGTAAAATATAAGATGCACGCATTCGCATGATGGTAAGTATTATTCATTTTCTTTGCATGTTATAATCTTAAATAAAATTTTTAAACGTTACATCTTATTATACATAAAATAAAAATAAACTATTATGTATGATGATGTTATATAAATTGTTTGTTTACTGTGATTTTTATTAATGATCAATAAATTATTAGGTTAAATTATTTTTTGCTAAAAATAAAATCAATTAGTCATTCTAAAATGTTGAACTTTTAATAACAATAATAATAATAATAATAAAAACAAAAAATCATACAAAATCAAAGCTAATGATATTTGTTTATCATTTAATATTAAAACACTTGATTATTGAATCTGACAATCACAAATTAAAATTAATAATAAATTGTTATTTCATTTCTATATTTGTTTCCAATAGCAAATTGATACGTCAAAATTAGTAATAAAATTCGTGCGTAAATATATACAGTATTTACGTATTATATGTTTGCAAGTGTCACTAATATAACCTATGATCAAATATGCGCATGCTCAGGATGAGTCTTTAATGCGCATGTGCAAGTCTCCGTATTGGAGGGGCGTAGAAAGGAGGCCATATTGTACAGTTAAATTGAAAGAACGAAAATAATTATATCAGCGTGAAGTGGGCACTATTTATCGTAATATTTTTATCTCCTGTCTTTCAACGAACGTTAGTTGAAATTCACAGTTACAAAACAAGTAAGAGGAGCCAATCCGTGGGCTCCTGATATTTTATACATAAATATATTTTAGTAGTGTATTTCGATCGAGAGGGCATCGTCGGTCTATATTACAGGAGTTTGTTGCTGCAAGCGAAATGGGCACTCGAGATGACGAATATGACTATTTATTTAAAGGTAAAAGAAATCTTTTTCTTAATCTATCATTGTTGTTAATAATACATATTTGTTTTTATGTCTAAAATATATTTTTCTCATGTACTGAGATAAAATATTAAGTTTAAGTATATAGCAAATCTTTAATGTCGAATCGAACGTTACTCACGCTGACGTTCGCTCTATGGGCACGAATGACTGTTAGGATTTTCGTAGAATGTGGTTGACGTATGATGACATCAGATGATATTTCTCTTAGAGTTTGACATAACTACCATTTTAATCTTAAATGTCAAATTATGGTTAACGTTTTCTTCAAATTCGAGTATTTAGTATATCATATTGGTATACAATATATGTATATTGAAATAGGATGTTACTTCTTTTTATATTTTTCTTCAACTCATCAATATATATTATAACGGGATATTTCCCTATTCTTCTAACATTAGCATAACTATAACAGTGTGGGTGAAAATTTTACTTCATTGTGTGTAGGAGTTAATACAAAGTATTTTTCCCTTTCTTTCTTTTTCTTTCTCTTTCTTTATTGTACATGCATGTGCGCGCGCGTGAATAAAGATGACCAACGTATACATACATAAGTGACATTTTAACATAATATTCCTGTATCTACAGATTTAATATCTCAGAAGAAAGAATAAAGAAAAATTTCCATTATAGTCATGGAGAAATGAAGTATATAAAGCATTAATAATTAATTATTTTCATATTGTAACATTATTTCTTGAATGTATGGAACTTTACAATGAAATAAATAATAGAAATAAAAGGTTTCTAGATAAATAATAGATTTTTTTTTATAGCATTTATTGTATTAATCTATTATATAAATTATCTTCAAATAATAACTTTTTAAATTACCTTCATCAAAAGAAAGGATTTTGTGTATGTTGTTAGATTTCTATTGTTTCTATGTATGCTATATTTTTTACTATAACATTTATCAAAGTTCTTTACAGTTTGTATCTATCTTTCATTATCTCTTTACTTCTTATTATTACAGTTGTCCTTATTGGTGATTCCGGAGTAGGAAAAAGTAACCTACTATCTCGTTTCACGCGTAATGAGTTTAATTTGGAATCAAAGTCTACTATAGGTGTTGAATTTGCAACACGCAGTATACAAGTAGATGGTAAAACTATTAAAGCTCAAATTTGGGATACAGCTGGACAAGAACGTTATCGAGCCATTACTTCTGCGTAAGTTTCTTAAAATAACAATTTTAAATGTGTAATTACATATCTGATAACATTTGTAGTATTTTTTTGCACACAATTAATTTATTCTCATTCATCGTTAGATATTATCGGGGTGCAGTTGGAGCATTGTTGGTATATGATATCGCAAAACATTTGACATATGAAAATGTTGAAAGATGGTTACGAGAATTACGGGACCACGCAGATCAAAATATTGTGATCATGTTAGTGGGAAACAAATCAGATTTAAGGCATTTACGTGCAGTTCCAACTGATGAGGCTAAAGCATTTGCAGAAAGGAATGGTCTTTCATTTATTGAAACCTCTGCTTTAGATTCTACCAATGTTGAAACAGCGTTCCAAAATATATTAACAGGTAAATTAATGTTGAACAAATAATTTTCATTTAATTGAAATATTTTTGTTATATCTACAAATATTATAGTGTGAATAATTTGAAATAATTTTAATCCTAATAATTAAAAACATATTATTCGTGCATTTATTATATAAGTATAAAATAATTGTTATAATTGTTGTATACACATGAAGTATACAAATATAATCTCTATTTTGTTTCAATAGAAGAATAAAATAGGTTTGTTGGATAAAAATAATGTAAAATATTTATGTAATAATAATTAATATCTAAATGTTGCAGAAATATACAGAATCGTATCACAAAAACAGATACGAGATCCACCAGAGGGAGATACAATTCGACCCCAAAATGTAGAACCTATTGATGTCAAGCCAACAATGAGTTCTGATGGAATGCGTAAACAGTGCTGTCAGTGACTTACCTTGCTGCTTAAAATGTGTGTATAGGCGAATGCAATACAAATATTCCAGAAGTATGATTGCTTAATTTTTAGTTATTGGAAAGAAAATTAGTGTACGGTCTTTATACAGTATCATAGTTTCAATATAATGAAAATATTGATTAGTTTATTATAAATTTTATGTTCATTTGTACGTCAAGTTTATCTCAACATATATCAAAATTAAACACTGCTGAATGTCTTTGTCGTGTTTTTGTAATGCACTATAAATGGAGGGTTGAAAAGGAATAATATATTAAAATGTACACTTGTAATAATGGTAGATTTTATTATACTACATCTAACATCATCTCCCAAAAAAGAATAATTTTAACATGACTTTGTATTATATTAGAAATTTAATATGTCAAATACAGAATTAAAATATTCACCAAGATATATATGGATTGTATTCACACGGTTCTTTTATAATTAATTAATTAGTATAATTTAATGGAGTTTTAAGACTCACTATCATTTTTTAAACAATTTACTCTATAAATTTTTATTTTATCATTAATTCAATTTTTGAAATTAAAATTTTAAATCAATATTACAATGTAATTTAATCAAATACTATTACAGAATATGATTATAATAAAATATTGTTTTTTATTGCACTGTAAAGATGATTTGTTACAGAATTTATTATTATTCATTGAAAGTATTCTTTTTAAGATAAAAATTTAATGAAAATCATTGGGCTTATTTAGCAAAAATAAATACAAGTTCCATGTAAATCTTTTATATATTTTTTATTATTTTTATATTTTTAACACCATACATTAATGCTTCACATTTTATATTTTCACAATGTTTTCAATGTTACAGAAGCAGTCTCAAGGAGGAAGAATGGAATAAGATACTGATGATAAATATGGCAAGTGCATAATGATTTGAAATTTAAGACTATATGCACAAGTCCATAATGTCATATGTTTGAAGAATTTGTAACCCCAACAACATCAGGGTATACTATTCATTGATGCTCATATGAGTATACATATTATGCATTCACAGAAATAGTTAAAAATGAAAAAAAAACAAGCATCACGGTTATGTATGATGCAGTAAAAGTGAATACATATGCATTATTCTGTCCTTAAATTTATCTTTACCCTGTCTGTTTTCATATTTTTGATCATATACGAGGTCTGTTCATGTAACAGAGAGAAACATAAATATTGTATATATAATTGTCGTGTATAATTAAATATAATATTATTTGATTCTTATTATATATACAAAGAATAAAATCTCTATTATATGACAAATGTATGTTGCAGAAAAAGGAATTTATTTATGAAATAATATAAGAAACATATTTCCCTCTAAACTAAAAGTTATAAAACATTATACTATAATATTAAAAGAAAATAATTTACTGGTTATAAGTTATTAAAAAATATGAAAAAATGGTAAAGACAGCATAATAATGCTGTTTTTTCATATGAATATTCTTTTCGTTAGAAAAAATTTCATTAAATTTATAGTGAGATGCACTTAAAGAACTATCTATCTTTTAATCTTTTTCCACCTCTCTCTTTATCTCATTAAATTTGAATGAATAGTCCTCGTATATTGCATTTAATAAAAAAAGGGCTCTGTTTTTACTCAATTTAAAGATATTTCACTTCATATAACATATAGATATTATTGTAAATAATTTATAATCATTTGCTTACAAATGAAATAATGCAGTAAAATACAAAGTGAACTGCTAAGAATAGTGCATAATAGTAGATAAAAGCTTATAACAAAAAAAAACAAACAAACACTATATAAGAAAGAACGAAATATGAAATACAATTAAATTCTATGAAATATTTTTCTGCTTTTATCATTTTATTTTATTATATTTTTGTTTGCAAGTTTAATTACCATAGGTTTTGTCACCATATCGTCTTTAAAAAAAATGTAAATTTGCAAACATGTGACCTACACTTAATATATATATATATATATATATATATATATATATATTATATATGAAATATATTGCACATTACACACATTTCTTTAGCATCGTTATTTTTATGAAAATAGCAGCAATTTAAAAGATATTTTCAAAAAATCATCTATTATATCTTTGAATAAATTTAAAGTGTGTGAAATATTACAAGCATCAATATTTAAGCTTCAATATAATATAAAAAGATTGAAAACAATTTTTAATTATTATTCCATAGTATACAGAATTTGTGCATCATACTAATGGAATATAAAATATTAAGTATCAAATGTGTATATGTTATAAGTAATTTTCAATTTACTTAATTTTCATTATATTATTTATATGATTTTGTTATAAGCAAACAAAACATACATTTCTTAGCTGCCCTAATGGATAATAATTTTAAGTAAGTATAACGATTTAATATAGTAATGTTTATCATTGTATGACTAATTTATAGTTATTAATAATCACATATATTTAAGGTAGCAACAATGTCTTAAATTACTATTATATATATATATATTCATATGTGTATTAAATGATATATCCTGTAGTTTTAGGCTCATTATTATAAACTCATCACAAATCATCTTAAATTTATTTTA